GGTAGTGAAGGGCGGGGTATAAATCCCATCTCTTCTTCTTCTTTTACCTCACAGGTTGTCTGTTGTGGGGAGGGGAAGGGAAAGGAGTTTGTAAGCCGCTCTGAGACTCCTTCGGGTAGTGAAGGGCGGGGTATAAATCCCATCTCTTCTTCTTCTTCTATATTTTCTTTACAAAATGTATCAGAAAAATATTGATTTTAAAACATTAATTGTTTTCAGGGACCTGCAGCAGTTGGATGATAGTACTCAGCTCCCACTGCTTTCTCACTTTTCAGAGACTGTAGAAGGCCTAACCACTATTAGAGCATTCAGGTATATTTCAAAGAAAAATTGTTGTGCTTGTAAAAGCATTTGGCAATCACAGTCTAACTGTTTTGGTATAAAGAGTCTGGTAAGTAAAGATCATTACAATTGAACGTACACAGTGATCCACTATAAGAAGTAACCTATCTATATGCATTTGTTTCATACTGTTGCAGTACTAATGTACAGGGTCCATTATTGAGATGACGAAAATCTTTTAAGAATAGTCTCTCTCCAACATATTTGATAAGTTCATAGGTTGGTTTTAAAGATGAAAAGATCCACTGTACATCCTACCCATGCAACACTAGGCTGTGGTATCTTGTGAGCAAAAATTCTACTTTGTGAGCTACTGGCATTAAAGTTGTGAGCAAGCGATTTGGCTACTGCATAAATTTGTTTGCTCTGGAGCCATCCTTCCTGAGCTAAGACAAAAATGTGTGATCCGGAGGCTAAAAAACTGTGAGCTAGCTCACGCTCGGCTTAGAGGGAATACGGCACCCATGTATTCCATGTTCCCATGACATCATCTCACACTATTTGTGGCCCTGCCTTTCTCCTGATAACTCAGGTCAGGATTCAACTATTTCTCAACCTGCTACAGGTATCAGTAATTTTGAAATCATTATAGAGTTGCACTTTGAGCTTATAAAAAGAGCGCTCACTTTGAAACATTAAACTCAAGTGATGAAAATGCTGGACACACCATTTAGAGTCTGGGTCATGACTGACACTGTATTACTCTTTGTACCTGTATCATTATCCTATCCTACTTACTGGCCATTCTACTCCTGGTTTATGTGTGATGCTTTTGCACTGAAGCTAGGCTAATGTTCCCTTTTTGTCTGTACCCCAAGTGCTTCCCCAGTCTGGGTATATTTCTTTGCTGACTGAAAAGTACGCAAACGGAGAGTGATTTCAGCAAAGTGTACTTTATTCTATCCAGAACAAGACAACTTTGGCCGGCTCGCAGGCCAGCTTATATCCCCCGAGAAACCTCCACCCAAAACACACCCCTACTTCCCTATAGGTTATTTACAGTGGCCGAGAGTCCCATAGGCTCTCGGCCGGGAACCTAGCCCCCTGATTGGAGCGGGCTAGGATCCGCATAGTCCCTTGTCTCTTGGAGCGAAGCTCGACGTTTGTCTCTGGACTTGTCTGGACTGGATACATTGCACTGACCTAGCCTTTGTTTAGAGAACATCCCTTCTATAGCTTTATACAAGAAGAATTTAAAGATGTGGTAAAATATTTTGGGTGGGTTATGTTTGGGATAATGTTTGAAGGAATATCAATCTGACAGCCCTATGAAGTTCTGCCACAACTCAGTACATGCTACTTGGCAAATTATTCCATTGTAAATTGAAGCACTAATGTCCTGTCAACTGGAAGCCCTCAGGCCCAGATCAGACTTCTTGTAAGCTTTATGATGCTAGGGATGATATTCATTTGTGGAGTCAGGAAGGTAACAAATGTTCCAGTGGAGAATGGAGACTTAGTAAGATCTTATACACTGAATCAGGCTTCAAAAAGTGCAAACCCTTATATGGCCCATGCTTACATTCAAATTATTGCTTTCCTGTGGCTCTCTGTGACCTTCTGGTAGATCTTTGAAGACTGAGATGTGGTGATTGTGATCTTAGAGAAAGTTGGAGGTGTTGTATATTCAAAGTAATATGGACTGCATAAACTTTACTGTGAATTGTTAAGCTTTGCCCTGGGCTAGGATCCTAGTGTAACCAAAAGGAGTACTAGCCCAGGAACCGACATCCAATCACCTTGCAGAGCGGGATCGCTCGTGATTGGTCTTTATCTCTCCAACCTCATAGGTTGTTGTTTGTACAGAGGGTGTGGCTACATTAGCCGGGAATGTTTAAATACAGAGAAGCCAGTGTATATATTTTGATGGGTTCTGGCTGGCGATTGTTGTACCGTGTTGGAGAAGTAACGAAGCTGAAGAATAAAAGCCGCATTCTTGCTGAATCACTCTCTGACTACTTGTTAAGTTCGCGACTTAACAGGAGGAACCTTCAGGAACTCTTTTTTAACATTTGGGAGTTGGATTTCTTGATCTTGATTTCTAATCCAGTGGTATTATTTCCTCCCTTCTCCCAGCTCTTGGTCTCTGGGTATACTTGCTGATTCATCCACGCTTTTTGGGTCTACCACAGTTACCCCATTCTCATTAGTAAGAGGTCTAGACTGCAATCTCATTGCATCAGTGCCTGTGTCTGACTCACAGAGAAAATCTGAGACAAATCAGCACCAGAGCAAAGTATTGAAGGCCAGCCATCAGAGACGAATAGCTTCATGGGTAGATTTGTTCCAGAAGATCAACTTGTTGCCCAGCTAAGACTGGGCACCACTGAAATTACCATGACTATAGAGAAAAGTTGATTATACTGTTCTATGCATCTACTGTTTGCCCTCTCTAACTTGCTTAATGTCAGAATCCCAGTGAATGGCAAAAATCCTCTTCATCTTTTTGAGAAACAGACTTAGGGAATGCAGAACCAGGGGACAGAGGCAGGTTTGTGAAGTTTGTCTCTTCTCTTCCTAAAATTTAGCTTCAAGCTAGGGCTCCCCAGTGCTATGGCAGCAGTAAAGGGTAAGGATCTAAATGAGAAATGGAAAAGTATGTTACAAAGTTCCAGTGTGTACATCTTGCACGCAAGGGTGTAGACTTTCCAATTTCCTGGGGGGGCTGGGGGGGGCCAGAGGCATTGCTTTGCTAGGAGCAAGGGTGGCTCCCGGGGGAGGCTGAGCACCTTCCTGAAAATTTCGGCGGGGGCTGAAGCCCCGCCGCCCCCACGAAGATTACGCCTATTGCAGGGTATGTATTGACTCAGACTTACTTATCATAGCAATTTAGCTAGTTTTAGTTGTATGGAGCTTCCTGGACAATTAGCATATGCTCATTAGCATATGCCACACCCCCTGACACCACCGGAAGTGTGTCATAAGGCCACACCCCCTGAATGCACTCGCCCCCTTCGGGAGAGGGGATCAAAGTGTAATACAAGCCTCCTCCGAGACTTGATCACACCAATCTCAACTCTCTCTTGGGTCTTGATGCCTGCCAGTCATTCCCCCTGCCTGGGGGAAGCTGCGTTGGACCAAAATACAGTCCAAACTGCTGTAAGGAACACCCGTCCACCCTGAGCACTTACAGGGTGCGTCAAATCGCCATTTTTACCCCGACCGGAAGCAGGGGGCGGGGCCTCGTCGTGTGCCCCGCTCCCGCACCTCACCCGGGGGAACTGCGATCCCCCGCGATCCCCCCCGAAATTACCCCTGTTAATGTCTGTATATATGTTTAGTTTCAGAGGACTAGAGAGTTAAGTCAGCCAAGACAAGAGATCAAAGATCCGTAAACACATCTCCATCCTATTATTAATTAAGGAACAGCCAGGAAGTTAGTTGGAGCAGGTCCCTTCCACCACAAGGAAGGGGGTTAATCCTTTTACCCTACCCCATTTTCCTGTCTTCAAATGGTTCCCCAAAACTGCTGTTTTTTCCATTTAGGGAAAACATATGGACAACACAGAGAAAATCGATATGGTTCCCCCCAATAGCCAAATAGCAGGGGGGGGGGATATGACAATCGGAAAATGATGCAATGGAAAATAGTTAAACTGCACCACTCTGCTTGCTATAGCCCCAAGCCACATCAAAGGTCCCTTTAGTTGCTGTTTACCAATAAAAATACTCTGGAGACACATTAATTGCTCTTTCAGCATCTTATTTAGATTTGACTAGGGGATCACTGATCATAATCTTTTAAACTACAGTGTGGTATCTTGAGGGTAGGATTGGTGTGTACTCTTAGAACTTTTGGAATATCCCACTCCAATATTCATAAAGGTAAAGGTTCCCTTGCTTGAAAGCCAGTTGAATCTGACTCAAAGGTTGTGGTGCTCATCTCTGTTTCAAAGCCAAAGAGCCAGCGCTGTCCAAAGAAGTTTCCGTGGTCATGTGGCCGGCATGACTAAACACCAAGGCGCATGGAACGCTGTTACCTTCCCACCGAAGTGGTACCTATTTATCTACTTGCAATTTCTTGCTTTCAAACTGCTAGGTTGGCAGGAGCTGGAACTAGAGATGGGAGCTCACTCCATCATGCGGCACACTCAGGTCTCGAACTGCTGAACTACTGACCTTCCACAGCCTGTAGTTCAGCGTCTTAACCACTTGAGCCACCGCAGCTCCACATTTACCCTTATTAGAATTGATCTATTTATAAAGGAAAAAGAAGGGGCTGTGGTTCAATGGTAGAGTATTTGCTTTGCATTCTGAAGGTCCCCAGTTCAATCCCTGACATCTCCATTTGAAAGAACCTGGTAGTAGATGTTGTGAAAGACCTCTGCCTGAGGTCCTCGAGAACCACTGCTACAGAGTTATTTATATGAGTCTGATAATATTTTGAGTGGCTGCTGCCCTAGCTCTTGGATGTCGTTTTTGTCAACACATCTTTTATATGTTAGACCATTGTGCTGATCTGTCATTTTTCTTTTATAAAAGGTATGAAACCCGGTTTAAACAGAAGCTTCTTGAATATACGGATTCTAACAACATCGCTTCCCTTTTCCTTACAGCTGCCAATCGCTGGCTGGAAGTTCGGATGGCAAGTAAATTACCTTGTATTGAGACAGGGCAGTAAATGGTCTTTGGCCCTGAGAATGTTTATTTTTATTATTTATTACACCTGGCTTAGTATTATCCATTCTTTTCTGGCATCTCTGCTTTTACAGGCACAAGACAACACAAAACTCACTAGGACATAGGATGTGCCAGGCACACGTGCCAAATGGTGGCATGCCAGGCTATTTTGCTCAGCCCACAGGGCTGATTTTCTGCTTAAGGCACAAGGTGTTGGCAGTGCCACTGGAGCTTAGCTTGCTCCCAGTGCTGTTGGGGCCATCTCTCCCCGCCCCACACACACCATTTGTTTGCCACTTAACCATAAAAAAGAGCAGTTTGTGTCAGAGTTCTCTCAGCCCCACCCACCTCACAGGGTGTCTGTTGTGGGGAGGGGAAGGGAAAGGAGTTTGTAAGTCGCTCTGAGACACCTTTGGGTAGTGAAGGGCAGGGTATAAATCCAATCTATTCTTCTTCTTCTAAAGCCTTTTGGGGAAGAAGTAGCAATCTAATCTAGTTTTATTTAAAACTTTTGCAACTAGGTCCTGTAAAACCTTACTGAAACTTATAATGCAAATATATTTGTTGTTATATCTGCCAGCAAGCATCATGGTTTATTAAGATGCCATGAACTTTCCCAGGTCATCATCCTAAACAACTATACAGGCTCAAAAGTATGGTAATCCCAATTGCAAAATGCTTCTCTTTCTCCATTTGTTGCCGCATACGTAATCAAGACTGATATAAGTTGAAAACTGACCAGAAGACCTATCTACTCAAAGTACTTTTCACTATAGGGAGGCTCGGCTTGTTGACACACAATGTGCAGCTATTGAATGGCAATATGCAGGGGTCATTTCGTAGAAAAAGAGGTGCAGGAGCTCATTAGCATAACTCATTAGCATAACTCATTAGCAAATGCCACACACCCTGACATCACCGGAAATGTATCAGAAGGCAACACCCACCACTCAGGCTCCACTGGACTGTTTTGGATTGCTAGCTATTGGGGGGGAGGGGGACCGTGCAGATCTGTCCTCGCAGAGGAGGGAGAGCTTGTACCTGAATAAAACTTGGTCTTAAAGGTACCACTGGACTGTTTTGGATTGCTAGCTATGGGGAGGGCTCTGCAACTTACCTGGCTGCTTCTTGCTCTGACTGAGGGCTGCTAGGAGCAGGGGTGGGGCTTGTTGCATGTGCCCGCCCCCTGGGCTCTTTACTGCCGGAGCGCCGCTCTTGTGCGCTCCGGCAGGATATGACCCCTGGCAATATGTAATGCAGTATATTTTCCATATCTGAAGGATATAGGAACCTCTAGAATACCCAAACATATCTTACAGGACGATTAACGATCTTTGCCCTGTATTTTAGTCTCAGCAGTTTCAAAGAGGGGCAGGCTGGGAGGCTAAAATGGGCCTGGAAAAGGGCCCTGACGTGCCAGAAGCACTTCAGCCCTGACAAGTACACAGGTGTACCTGTCTAGCCATAGATCAGGTGCATCTCAGGTAGTTGTCAGGATGAGGACCGGGAAGTGGTCCCTTCCCCTCCAGCTGACACTTCAGCTTTCAACAGGTGGGGCAGTAGAGCCCCAGCATTGCAAGGGTTGCCACCAAACACCACCTAGATGGAGGGGGAATGGGGCTGGAGGCCTGTGGGGACAACTCCGCATTCCTCCAGGGCAGTGGCCCAGGAGTTTTCCCAGTAGGTTTAGTGCCAGTCTGCCTTGGCTCCAAATATCTGTTCTTTGAAGTTACCAAAAATAGAGTGACTGTTACTATCTTTCTGTGTATAGTGATGTTTTACATTCTCATTATTTCTTTAGGAATATATTGGGGCCTGTGTGGTACTCATAGCAGCTGTTGCTTCAATTACAAATTCTCTATACAATCAACTTTCTTCTGGTCTTGTAGGCTTGGGACTGACTTATGCTTTGATGGTAAGTAAAATGAAGAGATGAGGCTCCACTGAGGCCATAAGAGTCAGCCTGCATTACTGACCCCAAAACTGTAGCACATGACAGGAGCTAAGAATCTCATTCAGTATTCCAGTTTTAGATACATTCCAGTTTAAATGCCAGTTAAGAGCCAGTTTGGTGTAGTGGCTAAGTGCGCAGACTCTAATCTGGGAGAACCGGGTTTGATTCCCCACTCCTCCACTTGCACCTGGCTGGATGACCTTGGGCAAGCCATAGTTCTGATAAGAGCTGTTCTTGAAAAAAAGCAGTTTCTGTCAAGAGCTCTCTCAGCCCCACCTACCTCACAGGGTGTCTGTTGTGGGGATGGGGGAGGGAAAGGAGTTTGTAAGCTGCTGTGAGACAACTTTGGGCAGTGAAGGGTGGGGTATAAATCCAATCTCTTCTTCTTCTAAATGTACATTTAATGTATTCTAGCCCGATATCTTTCTTTTAAAGGGTACAGCTTCACTGACAGAGGTTTGAGTGGTCTGGAGGATCTACATAGTAGTAGTAGTAGAAGTAGTAGAAGTAGAAGAAGTAGAAGAAGAAGAAGAAGAAGAGGAAGAGGAGGAGGAGGAGGAGGAGGAGGAGGAGGAGGAGGAGGAGATTGGATTTATACCCCGCCCTTCACTTGGGAGTCTCAGAGCGTCTTACAAACTCCTTTCCCTTCCCCTCCCCACAACAGACACCCTGTGAGGTGGGTGGGGCTGAGAGAGCTCTGACACAAACTGCTCTTTTTCAAGGACAGCTGTGCCAGAGCTTGTGACTGACCCAAGGTCACACCAGCAGGTGCAAGTGGAGGAGTGGGGAATCAAACCCGGTACCTTCAACTGTTTAGATTGCTGGATAATGGGAGTTCTTTTATTATTGATTTTAAATAATTTGAAGTGGGGATTACAAGATGAGGTACTTGCTGAATTCTATACCAGCTACAGGGGGGAATCTTATTAAGTTATACATTTTAGGTATCTAACTACCTAAACTGGATGGTTCGCAACCTGGCTGATATGGAACTGCAGCTTGGAGCAGTAAAGAGAATCAATGGCCTTATAAAAACTGACGCTGAAAACTACGACGGACTCCTCTGTGAGTATGGTGCTGTATATCCTATAGCGATTGTTAAATGTTTTTAACAATTCCCAGTGAAGTTAAAGTACCACAAACAGCCTGAACATTTAGAAGACCAATTTTATCATTAGTGACTGCTATTTGTTATTTTATTACTTTGGATACAGCTCCAGCACAGATTCCTCAGAACTGGCCTGACCAGGGTGAGATTCAAATACAGAATCTATCTGTCCGCTATGACAGTACCCTGAAACCAGTCCTAAAGCATGTCAATGCCCACATCTCTCCAGGACAAAAGGTAATACAGCAATGATCACTCAAGATGATATCTCTTAGAATAATCCTTGAATCAAAAAGGAATGCAGTTTCTTAATTATTCCAGAAAAAAAATTGCCTACTGTAAGCAAGAGGAAAAAATTGATCTTATGTTTAGCATTATTTTGGAGATCTTTTATCTCCAGAATATTATTCTTGTTACAATGGCACATATACAGTGAGATCATTAACATGATTACTCAAAAGTCAGGCTTGTTGAATCCAAACGGACTTACTCCCTGCTAAGTATACAGAGGGATATGGAATGGTATAGTATAGGCCGATCTCTTCAGATCTCAGAAGCTAAGCAGGTCAATTCTTGGATGGGAGACCTTGGACTTTAGATGTGAGGGGGGGAAGCCTCCATCTCCTACCAAAGTGTGCTACCTAGCAACCAGGGCCAGGAAGCAATGTATGTCTGTCCCTGCTTTTCCTTGCCTGGGCAGATGGAATGTTCTCCCTGGCAGCAATGATAAAGGAAGGGGGGGAGGAATAATGAGAAATGCATACTTCAGAAAAAGATTTCTCCCACACAGAGATATACCTCCTGAACCAATACATATTGCCTGTATCACACGTGAACCCAGGCTGCTCATAAAATATTTCTCTGCTTTCTCTAGAAAATTCAGCCAGTAATAATTTCCGCTTTCTACTAAATTAGCATTCAATCTGCCATTCTTCTTCTGTTTCTTGTCCGCAGATTGGAATATGTGGCCGAACAGGCAGTGGAAAATCGTCTTTTTCTCTTGCCTTTTTTAGAATGGTTGACAGTTTTGAAGGTAAGGTTGTCTTAGCCAGTGTTTGCTATTAGGGAAGCATCTCCAATTTTGTTTGTATGGTAAATCTGAGATGCCAAGGCAGTACAATTGAAGTAAGCATTATATCTGGCTTTCTTCCAAATTAGGAGCCAGCTACTGGTTTTTTGCCACCTTCTGCCACATTGATTTCCAAAGCCGATTAAAAAAAATGTTATTTGACATTGGCCATTTGGTTTTACAGCAAATAATAAGCATTTTTTTTTTGTTTTTAAGCCCAATTTCAGGTTTTTATTTCTGCATGGTGATTACTATTTTAGCGTGTCTGTATCCTACATATATACTTTCATGGAGGTATGAACTGATTTCCATAGTCACAAGAATAAATGACATTCTTAGTATTCCTGAGTTGTATTATATTATATGTATTAGGATATGTCAACTCATGAGGAGAATGAGGGTTTTCTCTCATGATATAGGAACTCTGGTATTAAAGCAGATTACAGATGCAGATCTTTTTCTGCATGGATCAGTGGCCTCTCTTCATAACCAACATTAACTGCTCTAAAACTTCACTATGTGGCACAGAACAAAAAGAGGCATGATATTGTAAGTTCTGTGTATACATAAAAAAAGATTTATTTAGATTCTGGACACATTGGAGCCTCTGTCTTTTTTTTTAAAAAGTCACATTTCTATCTCTTTTAAGTGAGCATGCTTGGAAAACTGGGCTTCCTTGTGAATGTTAGAAAATATAAATTGAGGCTGGAGTACAATCCAGTTAAAAGTAGGTAGTTTAAAATTGTATTTATTTTCTCACTTAAGTTAAGGTTTTACATTGCCTGACTTGCATCCTTAATTTATACTCGACTACCTATGGCTGTTTAGATGAAGGATGCAATCCTTCATCCAATTAGGTCTACATCCCATTTATTTCACTATTTCAAATAGTGTCGTTCTGTGTGGGGTGGGTGGGTTTATTTCTCTGGCTGCATGCCCATCATGTGTGCTGCACGCACCTCTAGTGCTATGTAAAGTAACCAGGCCTTGTGATGGAGATTGTAAACACCCTTCACTCTTTCTTTCTTTTTTTTTAAAAAAGGGAAGATTATTATTGATGACATAGACATTGCGAAACTTCCGTTACAAACACTGAGATCCAGACTGTCGATCATTCTCCAAGATCCTATTTTGTTCAGTGGCACAATCCGGTAAGTGTTACGATGGAGTCACTGGGGACAGTTAGAGGCTGTATCAGGCTGGTCATTGGAGCACCCCAGACTGATAGTCCTGGATGATTTCAATGTCCATATGTTGATGACACAGCTTCCACACAGGTGATGGACATGGTGTTGTCCTTGGCGGTGCTAGGACTCTCCCAATATGTTATGGCGCCCACTCATCGGGTGGGACACACTCTAGATCTGGTCTTTGTGGCGGGGGTTACAGTGGACCGAATTACTGCTATGGCAGTTCCATGGTTGGTCCACTTTGCCCTGAAGGCCCATGTGAATATCCCACTCCAACCCTGTTTGGGCAGCAGCCTTGGGCACTCGGTCTCTAAAAGGTTCGCCATCACTGCTCTATGCGATTCCAAATGGCACGGCAGGATCCGATGTCCCCTGGTGGTTCACTAGATGAGCTTGTCGAGGACTGGCACAGCCGACTCTCGGCAGCCATCGATGTGATCACTCCCTGATGTCGTCTGCGTTCTTGCTCTAGGCTCACTCTGTGGTACACACAGGAGCTGTGGCTGATGAAGCGACGGCTCAGACAGCTAGAGAGACAGTGGTGTCGTGTTCGCGACGAAGCTACAAGAGCATCCTACATGACGTTTATGAGATCCTACGAGATGGCGGTCAGAGCTGTGAAAAGAGGATACTATGCAGCCCCGATTGCGTCTGTGAGCTCTTACCCAGCCCAATTGTTTAGAACAATTCGGTCCATTACTACTCTGCCTCAAGGCGGACCAAACACTAAATAATTGGAGATTGGCTGTGAGGCTTTTGCGAGCTATTTCACTCCGCCATGACCTTCCCGCCACAGTTGAGACAGTAAAAGAACTCGAGGCTGCATGCACATCTTCTTGTCAAGTTTTGGATCATTTCAGTCCACTCAGTCTAGAAGAGGTTGACAAATTGCTGTCAACAGTTCGCCTGACCACTTGCTGCTTTGTGTCAGACTCCCACAGCATCAACGAAGTACACACTTTGCAAGAAAGGTTTTACTTTATTTGAATCTATAAGTGCATAAACAGGATCACTGTTCAGAATGAGGAGAGAGCATTGAGCATAATAGGTTATAGTATATTCAAAAACCTGAGGCCCAATTGCAGGACTTCCCCCGCGCGCCTTTGGGCCTGGGAACAAACGCTTCTAGATAATCATAACTATTTGCTTCTCATGAAGTGTACCATGAGATCACCCAAGCAACTACTCGGCAGCAACCACCTGTGGCCTTGAGAGATACGGACATTCCTGCAGCTAGGCAATTAAGCGCATCAGTAGGCATACATGGGAAAGTGAAAGCAGTCAAGCGCATACAGAGGAGAGAAGGAAAAAAACACCTTTTGGCAACTTGCTGATACTTTGATCCATGCCCATCATGGCTAGTTAAAGCTGGCCACGATGAGCTACGAGGTACCCTAAGGGAATTGATCAACAAGTCCCTCTCAGAGGGGCTGCTCCCAAAGGCACTTAAGGAGGCAGTGGTACGCCCTCTCCTGAAAAAAAAACATATTTGGATCTGGCTGAGTTGGCTAACTACCAGCCAGTTTCCAACCTGCCCTATTGGGCAAATTAATTGAGAGGGTGTTGCAGGGCTTCTTGTATGACACCTCTGCATTAGACCCCTTCCAGTCTGGCTTCCAACCAGGCCATGGGGCAGAAATGGCACTGGTTGCCATCACAAACGACCTTTGGAGGCATCTGGATTGAAGCGTTTTGACTGTATTGCTGTTGTTAGACCTGTCGGTGGTGTTCGACATGGTCGACCGCCCACTACTGGCCTGCCAACTCGCCGACACTGAGATTCAGGGGTTTGCCTTACAGTGGCTCTCATCGTTTCTTCAAGATCAGGGACAAAGGGTGGCAATTGGAGAGCAGCTGTCCCAAAGTCACCCGCTAGTGTGCGGAGTGCCCCAAGGTGCAGTGCTTTCCCCGATGTTATTTAACATCTACATGTGCCCCCTTGCCCAGGTTGCCCGGAGCCATGGGCTGGGTTGTCATCAATATGCAGATGACACCCAGCTCTATCCGTTGTTGGGCAGCCAGTCTGACTCTAACCCGGAAGATCTGGACCTGGCGTTGAAAGATGTGGCTGGTTGGCTTAGACTGAGCTGACTGAAATTGAATCCAATGAAGATGGAGGTCCTGTGCCTGAGTCGGAGTAGCCTGGGGGTAGGGAATCGGATCCCACTCCCGACTTTCGATGGAGCGCCATTGGTGCCAGTGTCAGAGGTTAGGAGTCTGGGAGTGCTCCTGGATTAAGGAAGCATCCTTAATGATGGAGGCCCAGGTAGGAGCCACTGCGAAGTCAGCCTTCTGTCATCTTCGGCTGATTAAGCAATTGGTTCCCTTCCTCGACCGCAGTGACCTGGCAACACTGATTCATGCAATTGTCACCTTGAGATTACTGTAATGCTCTCTACATGGGCTGCCCTTGTCCCAAATCCAGAAGCTGAAGCTGGTGCAGAATGCGGTGGCCAGGCTGTTGTTGGGCATCCCCACGCAAGAGCACATCCAGCCTGTACTAAAAGCTCTGCACTGGCTGCCTATAGCATACCGAATTCGGTTCAAGGTGCTGGTTCCTACATTTAAAGCCCTATATGGTCAGGGACCTTCATACCTAAGTGACCGCCTTTCCCCACATGTTCCCCAGAGTGCACTACGATTGGGGTCCCAAAATCACCTGGCTTTGCTGGGCCCCAGAGAAGCCAGGCTGGCTGCGATGGGGGCCAGGGCCTTCTCAGTGGTGGCTCTGCACTGGTGGAATGAGCTCCCAGAGGACATCAGGGCCCTGTGGGACCTTTTACAGTTCCACAGGGCCTGTAAGACGGAGCTCTTCCACCAGGCCTTCAACTAAGGAGCCACACTATATAACTGAGGCCCTGGCCCCAATATTAACATCATCATCATCATCAACAGCATTATAACATCATTTAAACAGCCTGATATAACCCAGATTACGCTGGCAGATGATTGTTTGTTTGTATTGTTGAATGCTGCTTATGCCCACCATCACATAGGAATCATTTGAGCACTAGCACATTATATGTTCTTATGTGTTTTTTACTGTGATTTTAGATAAATTATTTGTATTGATTTATTATCCTGTGTGAGCTGCGGTGGCTCAAGTGGTTAAGACGCTGAACTGCAGGCTGTGGAAGGTCGGTAGTTCAGCAGTTCAAGACCCGAGTGTGCCGCATGACGGAGTGAGCTCCCGTCTCTAGTTTCAGCTCCTGCCAACCTAGCAGTTCGAAAGCAAGAAATTGCAAGTTAGATAAATAGGTACCACTTCGGTGGGAAGGTAACAGCGTTCCGTGCACCTTGGTGTTTAGTCATGCCGGCCACATGACCACGGAGATGTCTTCGGACAGCGCTGGCTCTTCGGCTTTGAAACGGAGATGAGCACCGCAACCCTAGAGTCGGATTCGACTGGCTTTTGAGCAAGGGAAACTTTACCTTTACCTATTATCCTGTGTAAGCCGCCCTGAGCCTGCTTTGGCAGGGAGGGCAGGGTATAAATAAATAAAAATAAATAAAATAAGATTTCTGCTGCGAAATCATTTTTTGTCTCTGCTATGACCACATCATGAATAGCATTTCTTTGGACACAGTGCAAACTTTTAACAAAGTCGCCCACAGTTTATGTACAGAATGGCATTCCATGCATACAGTCTCATAAGTCATGAAGTAAAAAATGTCCATATCTCTTCTGAAATAACAGACTTTATCAGGCTTGCAACCCAAGCCTGTCCCTCGGGCCCAGTAAATGTACCCATTCCCCCCTGCCATTTCATGCTTGGTTCTTGCTGTGACTTGCTGTTTCACAAACCCTAAATATTCAGAAAGGAATGTTTATGTTTTATATAAGAAATGGAGTCTGGAGAGCATTCTATTGCTTTGGTACATTGTTAAGTTTTAGGCTCAGGATTTAATATTTCCACATTCCTCTTGCAGAGAATTTCACAGTTCTAAATGTGCCCCTCCACAAACTTGTGGCATTTTCTTTTACAATTCAGTAAGTAAGCGAGCGGAAACCTACAAGGACTTGCAGGAGGCATCTCATTTCCCCTTCCCCCACTATTTTTTCTTTCTCTTTCCTAAAAGTCCCCATAGAATCTCCTCTTTGCCTGCTTCCTTCTCTTTAGAGTTGCCAGCTGCAGGTTGGGAAATTACTGGAGATTTGGGAGTGGAGTCTCTTGGGAGGTGAGGTATGGCCAGAAAAGCGACCTCAGCAGGGTATAATGCCATCGAGTCCACCCTCCAAAGCAGCCATGGGCTGTTTTGGAGGGTGGACTCATAGTATTATACTGCTCTGATGTATCTCTCCTCCTCAAGCTCCACTCTCCTCAAGCTCCAACCCCCAAATCTCTAGGAATTTTCTGTCTTGAAGGTGGCAACAACTGGACCACATCCACTTGCATGGTAGGGAACCCTCAAAGAAATGTGAGGTGGCACCTCACTTTCCCATGAATCCCTCTACCCATACTATCCCTCTACCCATACTATTTCCTCTTTCCCTCCTCCTGGCAACCCCCATATCCTTCCCCTGCTTCATTCTGTCCTTCTCAGCCATTCACCAACCTACCTTTTGTATGCCTCCCATCTTCAGCTATATTTATTATTTATTTACTTCTTTTATATCTCATTTTTCTCCACAGTGGGGTCCCAAAGCAACTTATATTAGTCTCCTCTCTTCCTTTTTGTCTGCACAACAACTCTGTGAGATAGGTTAGGCTGAAAGTATCACTGACTGGTCCGCATGGTCAAAGCAATGGTATTCCCAGTAGTCATGTATGGCTGCAAGAGTTGGACTATAAGGAAGGCCGAGCGCCGAAGAATAGATTCTTTTGAACTATGGTGCTGGAGAAGACTCTTGAGAGTCCCTTGGACTGCAAGAAGATCAAATTAGTCAATCCTAAAAGAAATCAACCCTGACTGTTCCCTGGAAGGCCAGATCATGAAACTGAAGCTCAAATACTTTGGCCACCAAATGAGAAGGGAGCACTCATGGGAGAAGACCCCGATCCTGGGAAAGATTGAAGGTCAAAGAAGACGGGGACGGCAAAGGATGAGATGGTTAGACAGTGTCATAGATGCAAGGAACATGAAGTTGAGCAAACTTCAGAGGACGGCGGAAGACCAGAAGGCCTGGCGTGATCTGGTCCATGGGGTCGTGGAGAGTCGGACTCGACTGTGCGACTGAACAACAACAAATCACTGACTGGTCCAAAATCACCCAGTGAGCCTCCACAGCAAGATGAAGATTCGAGCCTGGGTCTCCCAGACCCTGTTCTGAAGCTGTAACAGCAACATTACAGTGGCTTTCATAGGGTGTCTGCTGTTGAACAGTAGCAAGCAGCCAGACCTAGTTGAGTCATGGAAGTCGGTTGGTATCAAGTCACCCAGAGGTTGCTGCCAGGCCTAGGTTTGCCAGCCTCCGGGAGAGCTCCCAGAATTACCACTGAACTCCAGATGTCAGCGATCTGCTCCCCTGGGAAAAAATGATCTGTTTAATGTTTGGTGGTTCTTTATGTTCTGAGTGGGTTCTCAATGCTGGGTTTTCTAAACCTTTAATGGCTTTAAGCTACTGTTTTATCATGTTTTACCTTTTTTATGGATGGGGACCACTATGCTGGTTTTCTACCCAGCAGGAAATAGACCAGAGTTATTTATTTGAGTAAATAGTTTGGCAAAAATCAGGACCTACCATGTTTTACTCTGTAAGCCACCTTGGGCATGCTCTCTGGAGAGATGGTACAGAAATTTTCTAATTAAAGAAAGAAAGAGTTTATACAGAAGATGAAAGTGCTGTTAGTGCAGGTCTCAACAGACATTTACCCTTTCAAGCCTATTGAAGTTAATGAGTTTAGGAAAATGTAACTCTGCTTAGGACTACACTGTGCATTTCTTGTTTGTTTCAAATATGTTTATGTCATGTAGATCAATGTTGAACATGGACAGCAAGTACAGTGTCATTTAAAAAATAACCACACACATCTTGCTAGGCGGCCAGTCCTTTGGGCAGCAGGAAATAAACAGCATAATAAAACAGCATAATAAAACACAGAAGCAATTACTGTTCTTGCCCATTTCAGGTGGTAAGAAGGTTATGTGTCTGAAAGGCAGAGCTTGATACTGATTAGTCATTTTATTTTTAAATTTACAGATTTAACTTGGATCCAGAAAAAAAATGTACAGACAGCATGCTGTGGGAAGCTTTGGAAATAGCACAACTAAAGCATGTGGTGAAAGCTTTACCTGGGGGACTAGGTAATAATTTCCTCATCTGTGGAGGGATCTGTGTTAAAACACTTCTGTTTGAACCTTAACTAATACATAGTACAAAAAGTGCAAATAGTATTGTAGAGCTGTTATTACTTTTCAGGGCTCTTTTTGAAGGAAAAGCCCAGCAGGAACTCATTAGCATAATAGGCCACACCCAAACAGCAGAAACCCATTAGCATATTAGGCCACACCCCCATGTTGCCAGAAGTGTGGTCATCCAGCCACACCCACCTTTTGCTTCTTATCCCGCTCGCTGAAATGCCAGTAGCTAAGCAGGTAAAGTACTTGAGTGGGTGAAATTAGTAAAAAGCTTCAAGCAACTACTATTCTGCTGGGGTGGGGGTGGGGTTAACAACCAGCACCAGAGAATTACATTTGGCTTAAGAACATAACATACGAACATAAGAGACGCCAATGTTGGATCAGGCCAAAGGCCCATCCAGTCCAACACTGCCTCAAGGCAGACCAAACACTAAATAATTGGAGATTGGCTGTGAGGCTTTTGCGAGCTATTTCACTCCGCCATGACCTTCCCGCCATAGTTGAGACAGTACATAAGAACATAAGAGACGCCAATGTTGGATCAGGCCAAAGGCCCATCCAGTTCAACACTCTGTATCACACAGTGGCCAGAAATACCAGTGCCATCAGGAGGTCCACCAGTGGGGCCAGGACATTAGAAGCCCTCCCACTGTTGACCCCCCAAAGCACCAAGATGACAGAGCATCACTTGCCCCAGAGTCCCTATCTATACCTTGTGGCTAAT